AAATTATTTTTCTCAAGATATAGTAAGGATCCTACCCCCAGCACCCAGTGGGGAAGAGAACACCCAAATCTCTCAGATAACAAGAACATACATTGAGAAACAATGACTTAAGGGAAAAGGTTAATAATTATTCTTCTGGCATTTTTGGCCTTGCTCAACATGTTCTTATCATCTAATTTCCTTCATTTCCCAAAATGAATTTCCTTCCTTGTATCTCCCTTCAGGGGTCAATGCTAGTTCCTCCTCCTCCTCTAGGGAGTTCTTTCTAATTCTTTGTCTCTCTGAACTGTGGCACTCATCACCAGAATTTACAGTGTTCACCCCTTCAGAACTGTCTAGTTATTGATATTCTTCTTTTCTTGGGCCCACATTGTGTACCCCGCTGAATAGTGCTAGGGCTGTGTGGTGCAAACTGATAGTGCTAATATTTAACTGCTTGAATAATATTGTACTTCTTTTCCAATGTGGATAATTGTTCACTCTTGCGCAAAGAAGTACCTAGGCCTTAGACAAACCTTCTATTGCGTTATACTGTCGCAGAAAGCATTGAAAATGGTGCGGTATTAGTTGTCTAATGCTGCTGTAACAAATGACCACAAACTTGGTGATGTGGGTCTCACTGAGCTAAAATTAAGGGTGGTGTTCCTTCTGGGGGCCTTAAGGAAAAATCCATTTCCTTGCCTTTTTCTTTTTCTAGAAGCCCTTGCATTCCCAGGCTCCTGGCCCCTTTCCTCCATCTTCAAAGCCACAAGTGCTAGTTAAAGGACAAAATTCAATTTTAAAATCTAATTGGTTTTATATTAAGCAATTCATGAGTCAGGCAGCATCTCATCTAGCAACTAGAAGGGAGCTTTAAGAGGTTGTTCAAACTGAGAGATTTTTATAGGCAGAAGGGCTATTATCAGCAAAAGAAAAGGAAGGATTATTTTGTTCAGCCTATGTGCCACAGTGTTTGAGTGTTGACCTATGAACCAGGAAGTTTTGATTCTGGGTCAGGGCATGGACCTGGGTTTCTTTTGGGCCTGGTTCCCAGTAGAGAGCTTGCAGGAGGCAGCCGGTCAATGATTCTCTCTCACCACTGATGTTTCTACCTCTCTCTGCCTCTCCTTCCTCTCTGAAATAAATATAAACATACCTATATATATGAATATTTTTAGGTCAGGTCACATTCTTTTGACAAAGGAAATGGAAGTGGTCCTATCATGTAGATTACCTACCTCACTGGTATTTGTGATAAGGATATTCCAGACTCACTGATTTAAAATTCTATTCCTGGGAGAGGCAGAAACTGCAATTAGATTAGTAAGTTTTGGTTTGGTGACTGGCTTAGAAAAACTGACTCCATTTTGGCCCATTGTTTTTATTTTATTAAATAACGATATGATCCATTTTTATTTTTTTATTTTCTAAAATATATTTTTATTGCCCTAGCCAGTTTGGCTTAATGGATAGAATGTTGGCCTGTGGACTGAAGGATACTGGGTTCAATTCTAGTCAAGGGTTCAATTCTAGTCTAGTCTAGGTTGCAAGCTCGATCCCTGGCCCTGGTGGCGCTCACGCTGGAGGCAACCAATTGATGTGTTGTTCTCACATCAATGTTTCTCTCTCTATGTCCCCCCCCCCCCCCCCCCCCGCTCCCTTCCACTCTCTCTAAAAAAAATGGACAGCCGAAACCGGTTTGGCTCAGTGGGTAGAGCGCTGGACTGTGGACTGAAGGGTCCCAGGTTCGAGGTTCCGGTCAAGGGCATGTACCTTAGTTGTGGGCACATCCCCAGTAGGGGGTGTGCAAGAGGCAGCTGATCGATGATTCTCTCTCATCAATGTTTCTAACTCTCTATCCCTCTCTCTTCCTCTTTGTAAAAAAATCAATAAAATATATTAAAAAATAATAATAAAAAAATTACAAAATGGACAAATATTCTTGGGTGAGGATTAACTGATATATATATATATTCTGTGAGGATTAACATATATATGTGTGTGTGTGTGTGTGTGTATATGTATGTATATATATATATATATATATATATATATATATATATTTCAGAAAAGAAGGGAGAGGGAGAGAGAGATAGAAACATCAATGATGAGCAATGGCCTGCAAGCTGAAAGGTCCCCAGTTTGATTCCTGTCAAGAACACATGCCTGGGTTGTGGGCTAGATCCCCAGTAAGGAGCGTACAGGAGGCAGCTGATCAATGATTCTCTCTCATCATTGATGTTTCTCTCTCCCTCTCCCTTCCTCTCTGAAATCAATATATATATATATATATATATATATATATATATATAAAAATAATTTTATTTTATTTTATTTTATTAAAGAAAAGAAACATCAATGATGAGAATCATTGACTGGCTCCCATCTGCATGCCCCCTACTGGGGATTGAACAGCAACCTGGGCATGTTCCCTGACCATGCCTGGGAGTCAAATCATAATCTCCTGGTTCATAGGTCCATGCTCAACCACTGAGCCACACCAATGGAGTCTTTCTTTCTTTCTTTCTTTCTTTCTTTCTTTCTTTCTTTCTTTCTTTCTTTCTTTCTTTCTTTCTTTCTTTCTTTCTTTCTTTTTCTTTCTTTCTTCTTTCCCTTCCTTCCTCCCCCCCCCCTCCGCCACCTCTCATTCTTACTTTCTTTTAAATAAGACTATTAACTTAAAAAAAAAAGAATTATTTTTAAAGGCCAATGTATGAGGAAATAAGCCTTTATTTGAGATCCAAAAGAATAGCTATCAGGGAAGGACTGATTCAGAAAGAAACCTAAATAGGGTTTTGATTAGAAGGTGAAGGCAAGAGATATTTATGAGAAAGGGGAAGTGAATAATTATTTGAATAGAAGGAAGAAATTTCTATAGGTGCATGAGTACTAACATAATGATGCTAATTCTAAAGAATATCCTTAATTTTCAGTCCAGTGTTCATTGTCTACTTTCCTGTTAGCTTTGCAAACAGTTGTTTGGAATACAGTGCTGCTTTAGGCCCAATCCAAAGGTTATTTTGACCAGTTTTAATATCCCAAAGGTTGAGGAGTTACACATGCAAGGTAGTTCCTCTGGGATGGCAGCTCTGACTCCATTTTGAAGTGGCTCTGTTTATTATTTTTTATAAGGCCTTTTCACACTTCTCACATCACTCTGACCTCTTCTGCCTTCATTTTCCACTTTTAAGGACCCTTGTGACAATATCAGGCCCAAATAGAGAATCAGCATAATCCCACTATTTTAAAATCAGTTGATTTGCCCTGGCCAGGTGGGTCAACTGGTTGGAGCAAAAGCGCATCATAAAGGTTTTGGGTTTGATTTCTGGTCAGGGCATGTATCTAGGTTGCAGGTTCAAGCCCAGGTCAGGGGAGAAGGGGTGTATATGAGGCTATCAATCCATGTTTCTCTCTCCTCTCTTTCCCTCCCTTCCTCTCTCTAAACATATCCTCCAGCGAGGATTACAAAATCAGTTTATTTGCAACCTTAATTCTCCTTTAATTTGGCCCCAGTACCCAGGGATTGGGAAGAGAACATTTTTGGGGAGCCATCATTCTGCTTATTAGCCATCACCCTTGCTCAAAAGTCTAAATTGAGGATTTTCATATAGGTGATATGGGCATGGGGAGAGGGCAATAAATGGGAAAAGTTTTGGGAATAATAACTCTAAATATAGAGAGACTCCTGCTGCATGATCTTTGGCAAATCACTTATCTTAGTATCCACATTTCTGCTAAAATGGAATTGCCATCTTTGCTCTGCATCAAATTACTTAATTATGCAAATGAGTTTAACTTACAGCAGTGATTTTCAACTTTTTTCATTTCATGATATACAGAAATTACTAAAATTCTACAGCAAGCCCGTAGAAACTATTATATATATATTTTGCCAATCTGACAAAAAATATTAGGCATAATTTTGATTCATTCAAATCAGATGGTTATTGTTGCGTTGGCTGTTGTCATTTTAAAATTTGACAATCTAAGGGAAAAGAGGTCAGTGCCCCTGACTATAGTCAGGTATTGCACATTTTAAAAGTTCTTGCAGCACACCAGTTTGCCTGGCACTCTGGTTGAGAATCGCTGGCTTAGAGGATGTAGCTCATATCTCTGAATCTTAATATGGAGGGTGGGCGAAATTCTCTGAATGACATCTGTAAACAGTGGGAGAGACTATGGAGGAAAGCTGTGAGTGAAAAGAGCCTGCTCTTGAATAAACTTGGGAGGTTGAAAGTTCTAGAAAAAAGGAATCAAATTAATCCAAGCTTTTCAATTAAGTTTTGAGGGAAAGGACCCAGGTTTTAAAAAAAAGGGAGAAGTGAATAAGTTGTTTAGGAGGCACCCAGGTGACAGGAAGTACAGGACTGAAGGGGTACCTTTGTGAGATCTCTGTAGGCAAAAGTTTAAATTTTATGAAACTCCCTTTAAAGATATATCGTAGTCACGATAATGATCACTCAGTGAATAAATAGAACTAAAAGTGTTGGCCAGAAAAGTCTAAATGGTACAGGTTCCACCGAGATTTGAACTCGGATCGCTGGATTCAGAGTCCAGAGTGCTAACCATTACACCATGGAACCACCACACGCATGCGAGGCTTCCTCCAGCTGCCTAATTACCCCTCCCCCATCCGCGAACCCACCACAACGAAGGAAAAATGACCTATTCAAGCAAGGAGGTGCGGGAGATGAGGGAGGGGACACTGAGAGTACGGTGAGCGACTGAAAGCAGTGGAATCAGCTAGGAGTCCAGGGCGGCTTCTCCTTGGAGCTCCCAGGAGAGGGTGAATATTTGAACACACACAGTCCTCGCACGGCCCTCCCCTCCCGGGCTCAGGGGCGGGGCGCAACCCCCCGGAAGTACTTCCCCTGAGGTCTGCCGGAAGTGGCGTGCGGCAGGGAGGGGTTCTTCACCCGGTCAGGCAGCTGAAGCTCGGCGCTCGGGTTGCCCCTGCAGCGACGCCCCCTGGTCCCACCGACACCGCTGCTGCTCCCGCCCCTTCGCTCCTCGGCCGCGCCATGGGCACCCGCGACGACGAGTACGACTACCTCTTCAAAGGTGAGGCCGTGGGCCCCCCGCTCCCCACCGACTCCCGCTCGGGGGGCCCGGGACGCTGCCGGGGGGACCCGCGGGAGGCTGCCTCCGTGCTGAAATCGGCCTTCCTCAGCCTTTTCCCCTCTCCGGGTGGTGTGAGCCGTGGCCTCCCAGCTCAGCACTTTTCCTTCCTTCACCCGGGGTGGGGATGGCGCTCGCCGACGCCGGCCGGGCTCCTCAGCGGCCTTCGCCGGCCCCGGAGCCCCGCGCCGGGAGTCCCGGCGGCGGGCTGCCCGCTCCCACCTCACCTGCCTTGCCCGGTGTCAGGCCCCTGCTCGGGGGTCGCCCCTCCCACCCTCTTACCCTCCGGCCTTGGCGCGCCCTCCCCCTCAGGAGGCCCCCGGCCGGCCCCGCACGGACCCGCCCTTCGCTGCGCTGCTCGCCCAGCCTGGGCGCGGACTGCCTGCCGCCCCACGTCTCTCCTCGTCTGCCTCGCTTTCCCCTCTGCGTCTCCTCACAGCCCCACCTTGCCCTCGGACCGACATCTCTCCGAGCCGTTTTTCCATCCCGGGCCCGGGCCCGGGTTACAGTCTGAGCGGCCAGAGGTCTCCCCCCAACGCCCCAGAGCCCTCGCCGTCCGTCACCTCGCACGCCCCCCCCCCCCCCCCCCCCGGGGTTGGTAGCTCTTCCTGGACCTTCCCTCCCCAAATAGTTTCTCGCTCTCTCCTGGGTCGACGGGGCGACCCCGAGGGTGGGGCGTGGGGCGAGAGGGGGTGGCCCGTCACCCACGCACGCACTTGTCGCAGTGACCCGGCGGGCAGGCGGGTGTGACTTCCCAGCCAGCCAGCCTTTTCCCTCCCGCCCTCGCCCCCTCCCTCCCCAGCGGCCACCCGCCCGGGGTGACTCTGGGCTCTCTGCTGCTCGCCAGAAGGGGTTGCGGATGGGTGGCGGCTGTTATCCCTGCCAGACCTGAAGGCCCAGTTCCTGAGCAGGAAAGGTTGTGCGCTGCACCAATGCCGGCCGGCTTTATCGCTGTGGACGGGCCGCTTCCTGCTGCAGCGGCTGGGAGGATCCAACCTGTTTTTAGCACAGGAAGGGGAGAGTCCCAGTTGGCTACATTACCTTTCCCAAAACGTGGGCGGCGGGGAGAAGTTGTGTGCTTTTTGGTCACATTACTTACTTACTGTAAGGCAAAACATATTGGAGGGTGAGGAGTGGAGAGGAAGAATTGCTTATGGGTTAGTCCGGAAAGAATCCAGATAGTGTTGTTGTTTTGTTTTAATCAACAGAGATAAAGGGTGCAGTTTTCAATGAGAGAAGAGTACAGTAAATGCTTTTTTTTGTTTTTTTTTTTGTTTTGTTTTTTTGTTCAGTGAATGGGTTCTCTCTTTCTTTGCTCCGGAATTAGGAGGGCAGCCATCAGTGGTTATGTTGAACAAAGATCATTAGCAGGGAGGAAGAAGCCATTGCTGTTACAGCTTTACCGTGGAGGGTGGAGTTTAAAAAGAGTGTTAAGCATGGTGACAGTGTCTGACTTTCTAATTGGGTGCTAAGTAATAATGATTGACCAAATGAGGCAGGTAACAACATTTCTTTAGCAACACTTTGCAAATCTCGGCATTCTAACTGATGATGCCCTTATCACTACTTACTCCTCTGGGCCAGAATATTCTATTATATGGGGTGAATATGTTCAGTATATTACCCCCTCCCCTTCCTTGGTGGAAAATTTATTTACACGAAGAGGGTACCTAATGCGTTTTATATACTGTTTGCTGAAGTCATTTGAGATCAGGTGAAATTACTTAAGTGAGAACTTGGAGACAAGTTTAGCTATTAAAGAGAGAATTATTATTATTATTATTTTAATGAGGTGCAGTGGCAGTGAGCAGCTAGCTACTTTTAAAGTAATTGATTCAGAACAAGATAGAGTTTTTCTTGTTTGGTTTGGAATCTTAATGTTGATTTATAGAAGCCATTTCTTTTTCACTAAGAATATTATCCTGGGTTGGCTTAAGAAATTTTAACTAAATTTTGGCCTTAGAACATCCTACTAACAATGATCGAGAGCATAGGGCTTTGGAATCACAGAGGCTCATTCTTTTCCTGACTCAGATCTTAAATTTGTTTTGTGACCTTGAGAAAGTTAACTTTTTTAGCGTCAGTTCCCTCCTTTATAAAAAGGAAATAGTACGTATCTCTCAGGATGTTGTGAGAATTGAATGGGACTGGTTATAAAATTTTAGTTTCTGTGAGGACTCAATAAATGGTGATAATGTGAAAGAAGTTACTGTGATCTTGTCAGGTTTTTTTAAACCATAAATCTTTATAAATGTAAGAGCATTTAAATATTAGCAAGGAAACTTAAAACTAGGAACTTCTAAAGTACTTTGTTTCCATGGGTTATGGTTTCATTTTGCTGTTTAAGGTAGGGTGTTTAAAAAATTCTGCTGAGAAGGATTTCCACTTTCTTACAGGATATGAGTCACTTTTTTTTTTTTTTTTTTTTTAAATTTCAGTGCTGATTAGTTAGCCAAATTTTTATATTTGTTATTATTTAAAATGAAGTAATAACAATTCTATTTTAAAATGGTTTCATTCTAGACGTGAGATAGGCTGCAGCTCTCAATTTGGAAGAAGGCTTACCTAGCAAACTTAATAGTTGAGGGAATGGAAGTTAGTTTTTAACCCTAACCAGTTAAAAATGAAGAGATATTGTCCTGGCCCTTTACACTGAAAACCAGATGCTGGTCAGGGCACATACCTTGGTTGGGTGAGTATGGGAGGCAGCCAATCAATGTTTCTCTCTCCTTCCCTCCCTCCTGTCCCTTCCTTTCTCTCTAAAATCAATTAAAAAAAAAAGCTGTATTTTGATTAGTATAGGTGGTCTGAATGTGAGGAGAGTAGGATAGTTAATATGAGTTAAGTATTTTTTCTTGAACATTACTCTTTAGTTAACATGATTTTTGGTAAGGGATTGATTTTATTTTTAAAAACTTGACTTTTTATTTTAAACCACAATGTGGTTAAGGCCCCGTGGAGCACATTAGTGAAGTAAGCATCAACCATAGTTCCTATTTACAAATATTGTGGTAGACACTAATCCACTCAGTCACATTTTCTGAAAGTACCTGGATTACTTAGTCACACCATTTTCTTTTTAATCTCGTAAAGGTCAGTAATAATTATCAGCTAATTATCTGTGGAAGTGATCATAGGAACTTTGCTATCTTGCATCTTGGTAGTTTTCTTTCAAAATTTTTGGTTGAGCAATTCAGATTCTCCTGAGCCTGGAAAGCATGTCTAGATATCAAGCTTATTATGAAGATTCTTTTGATGAGGTACTATGAATATACAGGATGAGGCAAAACTAGGTTTACATTTATTCATATTGAAAATAATACAATAACTAATCCTATATAATAAAACTCTAATATGCAAATCGATTGAAAAGTGGAATGACCAGTTGCTATGATGCACAACTGACCACCAGGGGGAAGATGCTCAATGCAGCAGCTGCCCCCTGGTGGTCAGTGCGCTCCCACAGGGGGAGCACTGCTCAGCCAGAAGCCGGGCTCCAGGCTGGTAAGTGCAGCAGCAGTGGCAGGAGCCTCTCCCGCCTCCAGGGCAGCACTAAGGATGTCTGACTGCAGCTTAAGCCCTCAGTCGGACATCCTCTGAGGGGTCCTGATCTGCGAGAGGGCGTAAACCAGGCTGAGGCTCCCCCCACCCCCCAGCGAATGTCACACACCAGGCCTCTAGTAAATATTAATACAAGAATAAACTGTTTCAAGTACTCACAACTGTAAGCCTACTTTTGCCCCATTCTGTACTTGGAAGAGTAGAAAGATCTCCAAGTTTACTTATAAAAACCAGTATGAAAATTATCATTTTTTTCCTTCAGGCGTTAACTTACAGATCTGATATTGTTGTGCCCAAGTGTCATAAACCCCAAAGACTACCAGGGAGCCGAATCTGATGCAATTGCAGAAAGCCTGTATTTATTTCGGACTAGTCTGAGCCCAGTCTCACCTACACCAACGAGGGCATGGGCGAGAAAGAGGAAGAACTTAACATATCAATGGGTTTTATAGGGAGGGTGGTGCTGCTACCTTGGCTGACCTGATTGGTTGGGTTAGACCTAGGGTCCAGTTACCTGGAGCTGGACCCGCCCCCACCTGCCCTCTCACCCCACCTGCCCTCTCGCCCCGCCTGCCCCCTCACCCCGCCCTGCCCTCTCAATATAATGTGATTGATTTGTTGAATTAAATTTTAGTCCAGCCTGGCAGGATAGGTTAGTTTGTTAGAGCATTGTCCTGATACACCAACATTGTAGGTTTGATCCCCAGTCAGGGCACATACAAGAATCAACCAATGAATGCGTAAATAGGGGAACAACAGATTGATGTTTCTTTCTTTCAACTCAATAAATAAAAAAGCGAAAAAATTTAGTCCAGTATATTAGTTTGCAAGGGAGTGTACAAAACTAAATGTGGTTGAATAGGTGTTTTGAATTACTTAACATGATTAATATGTATAATATGTTTTATGGCATTTAGCAGCCTAAATATTTGATATATATTGAACCAAATTTAGTTTTAGGGTTAGAGATGATACTTAAAATTCAGCAGATAAGGTTAACCAAGTGGTAATAAATACTGTCAGGCTATTTTAGAAATGCTATAGTTATTTCATATACTAGTACAGATGCTGTTTTATGTTTATATATTTTACTAGAGGCCTGGAGCATGGATTCGTGCACTGGTGGGGTCCCTTGGCCTGGCCTGTGTCTCTCTCAATCTGGTCCAGGAGGGATCGCAGGAGGTTGGCCACTCGGGAAAGGACCATGGGAGGGCTCCAGGGCATGTCCGGCCTATCTCACCCAGTCCAGATCAGTCAGACCCCAGCAGCAAGCTAACCTACCGGTCGGAGTGTCTGCCCCCAGATGGTCAGTGCACATCATAGCAACTGGTCAACAGATTGGTTGGCCACTTAGCATATTAGGCTTTTATATCTATGACTAG